TGTACTTGAAGGATCGATTCTTCTTGCTCAAATATCTGCTTTTTGCCAAAGAAGCTTGATTGTCGCAAAAAAATTAATTGCTCTGGGAATGTTTGCATAAAAATATTCTCCTACTCGTATTATTCCCAACTCAGTTTCTCTTATAAATCTAACTGTAACGTATAATAAAACTATTGTTTCGTCCGTGGAAGACATCTCATTAGCTATGAACTCACAGTTCGTAATTTAGAAATTTTAACTGAAAAAAAAAACTTGTAAGAGACACAGAGAACCTGAATTTTCTTCGGTTTATTCTAGATCTTTAGTCGAGGGAATGAAACATTGAACCTCCGAAATCTGTGCAATAAGATGGATCGTGATGCGGTTTTTTGCATTCGATTCGTTAGAGCGTCCAGAAAGGTTGTGACCCTATGTGATCAATGAGAAATGAAAATTGAATCGGTGCATAAGAAAAATGCATTTTTAAAATTGCATCTCGAAGAGTTAAAATATGAAACATTTATAACCCGGAAAATATTGACGGAAATAAGTTCAATTTTGCTACTCGGGGGTTTTTGGGGTCGCTGAACACGAATATCATGACGACAACGGTCTCCGGGGTAGGCCGTTTTTATTGCTTTATTTCCTCGACTGCTTGGGTTCTTCCATTTTAGAATATGTTTATTATAAATAATAAAAATTAAAAACTATATCTATGTATAATGTATTTATAATGTATTTATAATTTCTAATAAGGTATTTTCATGTATTAAGCAAAATTCCATATAAATATACAATACAGGGTGTTTCAGAAAGACCTCCCGTAAATATAGGGGGTGAGGACGACAAAAAATAAGAATTTTTTGTCTTATGAACTATATGTCTATCTCCTCTTGTTTTCGAGATACAGAGCGACAAATACAATTTTTTAAATAATATTTTTATGAAAATTTCCAAACGATGCGAGATATTTTTATGAAATTTGGTATTCCGAGGTTTTTACGGATGCCAAATACGATGGTCTAATTATTTTTTGGATATTTCGTAGAGGGCGCTAGTTATGCTACATTCCTATTACATATCAAGTTCTATTTTTTTTAAGGTTAGGTTTTTTACCATTCGGGCTCCAATTTCTAATGTACTTACAATTTTATTTTCTAAAAACAATATACTCTTTTTAGAACTTCCTAATGTGGACGATTTTCGAGAACAAAGGCTTTTCATTAAAAAAATAAAATTGTACAATAGAAATTGGAGCCCGAATGGTAAAAAACCTAACCTTAAAAAAATAGAACTTAAAATGTAATAAGAATGTAGCATAACTAGCGCCATCTATGAAATATACAAAAAATAATTAGACTAGCGTATTTGGCACCCTTAAAAACCCCAGACTACCAAATTTCATAAGAATATTTCGCACCGTTTGGAAATTTTCATAAAAGTGTTATTTAAAAAATTTTATTTTGTCTCTCTGTATCTCGAAAACAAGAGGAGATAGACATATAGTTCATAAGACAAAAAATTCTCATTTTTTGTCGTACTATCACCCCCTTTATTTACGGGAGGTCTTTCTGAAACACCCTGCATATATTTTTCGTTTTATTCTTGTAATAATTGTAAATCTCTATATGCTCAATTTAGCCAAATAAATATCGAGAAAAGAATTAAACGATTTCAAAAAAGTATGTATGGTGTAAAAAAATTATGCACAAGTTTTGGGATTTTCTTTTAGAAAAATAGAACAATTTTTGTAAAGAAAAATAACAAACGCGAATGAAAACTTGAAAGAGAAATAAGGATTTTTATATCAAGTATAATATTAATTTATTTAGAAATAATGCATTATGGACTAAGATAGTATTAATCGCCTTAAAAATAACTTCATTTGTTTATAAATTTTAAATTTTTAAGCATAAAATAAGGAATATTATAATTATTTATTTGAAACAAACAATAATTTACATAATAATAATTAATAACCATTTATAAATATGAAATTTTTGGAGTGAAAAAATTAAATTTCATCACGATTATTGATTTATTGATTTTTTAATAATTTGCGGACATTAAATCGTCGGACACTTATATCACTATTTTGTATAGTAAATTTAAAAGTGGAAAAAAATGAAAATTAGATATGTGGTAATCGATTTTTCATACCCCATGAAAATTCCGATTTCCATCTGTCGAACTGAAAAAACGCGGCTTGAAATTTGTCGGACAACAATACTTTTTGACTGAATTAATTATTTACAATTAATTTTACTAAAAAATTATGTATGTGGTAATTGATTTTCAATACCCTGTTATTTTGGCATGTTTCGACCGGTAGACACGTCAATGTCGGAAGAATTTCTGTCGGACAAATTTAAATCGGCATTTGCAACAAAATTTCCAGTTACTTAAGCTAAAAATAAAAGATGTGGTCTTGACTTTCCAAGACCCCGGGAAATTGCCATGTTTTTTCCGAGTCGAAAAGCGGAGGAATCGAGAAAAGTCGCAGAGGAAAAATGTGGTAGACTCGTTAAAACGAAGTTCCTCAGGAGTTATAAAGTATGTGGGAATCAACTTTCCAGAGGGGGCCTGGACTGTGGACTATTATTAATTACTACTTTTTTTTATTGCTGACAGAAATTTAATTAAAGGTTTGGTTAAAAATGTCTCCCGCTGCCTCACAACGCATACTTGCTCTTCTAATAATTGAAGACGAAGCTTCTGAATAGTATGCCTATGTCACCATAACAATATGACAAAACAATTACATGGCCTAGCAGATTTATTTACTGTGAAATATTGCCCGTAATTCCTGAACTACTGAGTTTTGAACAAAGTGTATAAGGCACTTTCGACTTAGAATTATCCCAGGAATATGACTTTAAGCTATGGCCATCGAGTCACGGGACACCCTGTATAATGTCAAGGCTAGTACACTAGGACATGATGGTATAAATATTATAAATATTGAGATGTTATAATGTGTTGTCCAATTATATTGATTTATTTAAAGCATAACATTAATGAATCCTTAATACATAGACTGCTGGAAGGAGGATCTTATAAAACCATTTCCTAAAATTAGTTCCCCTGTTTAATATGAACAGTTTAGCTCCATTCGCTCCATTACCGGCTATTTACAACATGTTGGAACTGCTTACTGCAGATAGACTAAATTAGTTTATTATCCGAATGAGGTTTGAAAAGCTCAACTTGAATTATATTCAAAATTTTATTTCTCGAAACCATAACAATTACAACTATTAGTATTACATTCCAGACAGCAAAAATTTGTTTTCTGAGACGTTGTTTTGTTCAGTTAAAATTGTTGCAGCGACAAATGATTTTATAATCATTTTTGATTTGAAACTGTATACTAGGCAGGATTAATATTATTTAAGTAATTTAAAGGCACAATTTTGTTTTTTTTTTGTAAACAATAGTTTTTTATTCATTGTATGAAGAACTCCCGCCCAAGTGACCCATGTTCGGAGTTCATTTATCTTTAGTGTGCCGCTTTTGTAAGGCAATGAAAGAAAGCCGAGTAAAAAGTTGTGAAGGTTGCGCGAAATTAGCCTGCCGTCGGGGTTCAATTTCAAAGCAATTTTCATTCAAATGTCAACACAATCAAATTTATTGTACGCAGGAGTATCGTGAACATTTATAATTAAAATCAATAATACATTAATGTTGACAATCGCTTTAGTTACGTATGTATGAATTTTCGCTTTGTTACATACGGTTTTCCATGAAAAGGTCGATAAACAAAGAAATGAGGACACCGAAAATAATAAAATTTAATAAACTAACCCATTGTATGTTTTGTAGGTGTAAAATAATAATTTTGTAATATTAAAATTGTTGTTTCTTTGCTAGAATATTAATGGGCAAAAAAATTTCCACTGTCATTTCAAAATCCACCATTAAACCACAATAATTGACATACAAAATAACAATAATTTTAGTTACTGGATTTATGAATCAATATAATGCACATAAAGTACCTATATAGAAGTATAGGAATAGAAGCTCTTGTGCAGAAATAGCCAAATAAATTTGATTGTTATCTTTTACTTACTATAATATGCTCTTGTGTCTGATTGTTTTTAATTTTCTGTTACGTTTTATATTGTAAATAACATACACAAACGCACAAAAATGTAAATGTAAAATATCTGGCCTTATACAAACATAAAACGTATATTCCTTATAAAGCATGCGGTAGCTGTACCCCATAAAAACTTTAGTGTCTACATATAATTTTTTCAAGGTGGCAAAATACTTAATAAAGGGAAAAACCAAAACAGTGAAACAAATTTGAGATAATAAAAGGTACTGGATATAAAAATATATAAACTCCATTGTATAAATTTGTTAAACATATTTGCACTACCCCGATCTTTGCAATGCACGATTTTGAATATAGAAAATAGAGTATCACTGTTTTTTACTATTAAATAAATAATAAATTATGTTTTCAACCATCGGATAATGACAGAAAATGTTTAATTTTAATTTAATTCCAACTTATTCAAGAAATTTCCACACTTTTTGTAACTATGTTTTCAAGATTCCGTTAGAGAATAATTTAAAGCTGGGATAGCTTAAAAATGCAAATGAATTAAGTGCTTAGTGGAAGTTTCATTTTTGCTCTCGCAGTGCCTATCTTCTGATGGACTTGCTGAACTATTTGTTCCAATTAATCTCTAATAAAATAATAAAGAAGTCGCAATCCTTTCTGGAATTACAGGAAAGGTTAAAAAGGTTCATTAATTTTTACGTTCCGATATCGCGCTGATCTTTTTAATCAGAACCCATGTTCTAAAGTTGTCAGTTCGACATTTTCTTATTGTGTTATTTAAAAATTTAGAGTACTCTCCCAAAATTCTAAATTTTATTCAATAAATTTTTCCAGTGTTATCGTTTCCTGCATAAAAAATTATTCATTTTGTTAAAGTATCATAAATTTAAGGATGAATAAAGAATCAATTGTTAGTGTTGTAAGCCTTTATTTCTATTAAATTATTTAAATTTAAAAATATAAAAAGTTACATACAATGAATATATATAATATAAAATAAAGTAGCACCTTAAGAAAATATTTCTCTGTAAAATATTCCATAGAAACACTCGTTACTTGTAAGGGGGAGTTTAGTAGAATGCAAAAAGAAGCCTGTTTTCCCGTCACCCATAGAGCAAGATTGAGCAGTTAAAATTGGCAGGCCCCGTTGTTCCCCTGAAGTAGTAATACTGTAAGTTTTGAAACCGGTTACTAGGTGAAAATCATGAGAGAACAAAGGAAATACCGGAGGTTAGGATAAAAAATAAATCTTACCCAACTCTACAGTTCCCCACGTTTAATTCGTGGAAAAGTGGAAAGCCGGGTGGAGCCCTTTAAATCAGATAAAAAAAGATATCGAATCTGTCTATCCTTACATTCGTTATCACAGCATTCTAGTTACTAAAAATTAAGTACAATACGTTACAAATTCTATGAAATAAAAAAACTGCTAAAAATATTTGTTTTTACATAATATATATTATAAAATGAGGGCAGATTTGTTACCGGTTAAAAATTGTATTAGCACATTAATAGGAATGTCGGTTTACTTATAACTAACTTCACTATCGTTATCTCCGAACCAGTTCTTACGTGGCGAAGCTCCCACGTAGCTAGCGGTTGCCTCGCTTCTGAACTCCTGAGACACCACTTGCGTCGTGGTGCCAGGTCCTTGCATGGTTCTACTGGCTTGAGAAGCTTGCCACATAGAACTGCGCTCTGCAGCACCCCTAGGAAGATGAAGGGGTTGGATCCTAGTGCTTCGCTGCGACTTTGGAGTTGCTTCGGGAGAAGTGAACTCGCTAGCGGTATCGTACCTCGATGGAGCTATCCATCTTTCAGTAAATTCGCTGGCCGATCTCGCTAAACTGGGCTGACTCAGAGATCTAGCAAGCGATGGATGGCCTGGCTCGGAATCATCGTAGTACCTCCTTTCTGGATAGTAACTAGATGCCTCGGAGTATCTATCGTTTTCGTGGCGACCAAAATCGACGGTCATCTCGGACATAGACCTTAGATCGGCCTCGCTTCTGTAGCTAGACCTAGAGCTTCTTCTAGGAATTAGCGGCTGAACTATTGGTTCGTGGGTGAGGGTTCTTACAGAACTGCCTCCATCGGAATCGTATTCGTACAGTGTTGGCAAACTGCTACGACGGCTTCTAGTGTCCCAGTCATTCTTCTTCCTGAATCTGCTCTTCGGCTGTTTGTCCAGAGGTGTCAGTATCCTTATTATGATGTCCCATTTAGGAGGCTCGAACAATTTTTCGTATCTAGTGTCCTGACGAACCCTTTCGTAGTCTTCGCGAACTACACATTCAGTGAGGAGTGTTCTTAATGTAGACTCAGTGGTGATGATCTGACGCCACTTCATCTTATCAGACATCGTAAGTTGAGAATTGAAAGTTTCAGCGCTTTCGATTACGGGTCCTTCTTCCATTTCGGGCTGTAGAACTCTTATCAGCACGTTCCAGTTTGGCACTTGAGGGTTTTCTAAAGGTATATTGAATGTAGACAAGAAATTGTCATCTCTAGGTGGAACGTTTATAGAGGCAGTGTATCTAGGTGGCTGTTGTCCCATCTTAGCTACTATTTCCGGTGCGTTTAATGGCAGTTTATCGTCAACAATAGTACTCTGGGGTGGCAAGCTCATGTTCGCTCTTTCCAGTTTTGGTGTCAAAGTGAGACCAGAAGCGGATGAAATATCAGAGAAGTTTTCCCAGTCGGGTGGTTCAGGGATCTCAGCAGGGTAATTTTTAATAGTAACATCCCATTTCTGGGCCTCTACTAGTTTAGGACGGGTGTGGTATTCGGTGATCAATCGTTTATGTCTTTCAATGTCTTCTATAGTCTTTTTCTCTGTTATTGTGCGTAGGAATACGTCATCAACTACATGAGAAGTTATTTCCGGTTTGTGTACCACAGCTATTGGTGGTTCAAGAGAGACAGGTTCTTCCATTTCAGAAATGTATTGTTGTCTAGGAATTATTGGTGGAGGTGGAGGAGGAGTTGGGGCAACAAACTTGTGATGCGAGTCGTCAACAATCTCCGTCATGGAGTGAGTATCAGTCATCTCAGTATTAAGAGAAGCGATGGATCTAGCTGGAGTAATTCTCATCGGTTCTTCTTGCATTTCCAGTTGTCTGGTGAGTATTCTCTTGTATGTAGGAGCTGGTTGAATATGTTTGGGTGGTGGGTGAAGCTCAGGAATGTAGGTGAATTGCGTTCTTTCGACTGGAAGGGGTGATTCGAGAGACCTGATACTCTCTTCTCGTTGCTCAAGAATGGTCGAAAGATTCCTATCAGTCCTTGTACTCTCAGTGTCTGACATTGAGATGCTTGGAGGAGACGCAGGTGCTGTCTTAACGCGCACCTGTACGTCGAATTTAGGTTGATCTTTGACTGCCAGAGGCAGTCTGGGTACCGTAGCTGGAGTAGCGACCGCATTGTGAATGTGTTGTTCCTGAGTATGCCCGTAACCTTCACTGTAGAAGCTACTGTTGTCTTGAAGATAACCTTTGTTCTCGTAGCTTCCTGCGGAAGAAACAGGGAGAGATCTGGTGTCTTCGATTTCGGAATGAGATTCTGATGGGTAATCTGAAGGAATTGTATCGCTGACGATGTGTTCCTCGCTTCCCGAGCTGCTTCCTGGGGGAACCGTAGCACGGGGTATCTTAACGCTATCGATCATCGAAAGACCTGAAAATAAAATGTTAATAACACGTTGTCATAAGATTAATAATCGTAGCTGGTGATGATGATGTAAAAAACTTACCAAGTGAGCTTGGAGTAAGGGCAGTGATTTCTGATCCACTTCCAAGTGACGAAAATGGATGATGTCGTATTACAGGTACAGTGCGTCTTCTCAGGCAGTAGTAAGAGCATCCTAGACCTAATAGAAGAAGCGACAGGAAGAGGATGCCGCATATTATCAACAATATCTGGAATCCTCTAAGCGGTGGGGCCACTGCAGCTGTCGGAGGTAATCTGACAAAAATAATAGTTTTAAATAAAATAATGTTTTTTTGAATTATATATGTTCTTGCAAAATATTTAAATCAAGGTATTGAGTACTTATTTACTCATTAAAAAAAGTATGAACCGAACGATAACTGAATAACATACTACGTACTAAATAACTACGTAACGTGTGATTTGTTAAATATTATAAGAAAATACAACATAAGAAACAATTCTTATAGTCATGTATCCACCGGAAACTTATTCGTTTCTGGATACAGGGTGTTGACATTTTCATAAAAAAATCGTTTCTTTTTATTCATATTAAAAAACTCTTTTTCCGATTTTATTAAAACCGTCCAGTTTTGTTTATAACAAAGTACTTATGTATTCTAGAGACGTATCAGAGGGCAGTGAATATCAATAGCTATAAATATGGTCTAGAAACAAAAAGTTGTACTTTTAATTGTTTAATCCTAAATAATTATCAAACTGAAGAAGAAACATATTTCTTGCCACTGGATGCTCACTGGGTTGCCTCCTATGACGCCACTGTAATAAATAGATCAAACCTAATTATAAAAAATGTATTTTATTATTACAAACGAATCTGGATATTAGAAAAAAAGGTTTCTGATATTAATAAAAAACGATTTTTTATTAAACTACCTATTCATATGAATTTTTTCCAATTTTGTTTTAGAGAATCTCAATCTAAATTTTTTTCGTAATATTAATGAACCACCCTGTGCAATAACTGACGGTTTATTTAGAGTATGTTGATGTACTTACATAGGGTTTGCTATAGCGGCCGGTAGGGGTGCTACCGGTGGAGGGTACCGACATACGATGGTGATAATTTCATCGCCATCCATTTCCAGAGTTGGATGGAACCTCACTACGACGTTATTTGTAAAAACACGTTGAGGGCCCTGAAATCATTGACATTTAAATCTATTTAACGTAGTTTTTGATTAGAGTATACGAATAGTGCAAGAAATAAGTCGTAGAAGATGACAGATTCTTTATAGTACAGATCGGTAGGAATAAGTTTGCATCTGAGAGCTCTGCCTACAAATGCGCACTGGAAACTAACAGCTTTGAATAATATATGAACAGTATACTCGTAATCTGCATTAATCTGATCCTGGACAAAGCTCCAGGTAGCTATCCTAAATCACAGCGCCTACGTCTTATTCCCTCGAGCCGCATATGCTTTTTGTCCGAGTCAGAAACGCAAACGCATTTCTATCGATTTGTAATTTGTTTAAATTAATGTATATTCAAAAGTGAAGTGAAATTACTATCCTACGAAAGCGGGACTTCCTACAGCGAAACTCACTTGCTTGGTTCCGCACCCTTTCAGAGGTAGGTCGAGCTTGTAACTAAGTGCTCCGTCTCCTCGTATCCTGCAGGCGGAGTTCCTGTCGAAATCAGCATAAGCGATCCCGTAGAATTTCTCGTTGAACTTCATCTCCATCAGCATTGATCCTGAGGCACAATTTAAAGCGGCCTTGGTGCGGTTCAGGAATATGACGGGACTGAGGTCGTCCAGCTTGGTGACCTTCCCGTCGAGGATGGTCTGCTCGGGCAGGCCTTCCCCCTGGTATTCGATGTTGTTGGCCTGATCGGCATAGTTGGATTGGGCGGCTACCGCGCTGCACAGCCACACGTATATCGCTAGACTCAGGTAGGGAGACATCTGAAATAAAGAAATATATATATAGAGATATATTTCAGTTATCGGAAAATAAATCGATGTTTGTTTAAAATAGGTATTATTGAAAAAAATTAGGAAATTTAACTGTTCAACAGTCATTTTTTCATAAATTTTGAATATTATTGACATAATAGAAACATGGTTACAATAGAAAAGTAAAATGATCCATTATATTTAACGTAATTTTTTGCCCTGAATACGAAACTGAACCGGAAAAACTGGCACCAAGTAACTATAAAAATTTGCACCATGCAAATCTAAAAAAATGTGTGTTGCGTTCTAAAACAATATCAGTGTTCCAGCAACAGAAACCAGAAGCCCATAAAATTATTTAAATGCTCTAAATGAAGCATAATAATCTCGGGTACTGCAGTGGAACAATTGTGCTCAAAATTATTCATTCAAAGTACAGGGGAAGCTAAAACCTGTTATAAATGTAACGGTAAGAATGTTGTAGTATATTATTAAAAGCATTGCTGGCCTACAATTTGTCTGAAACATAAATTAAGGAATTAATTTTCAACACTTTATTAATATACATAATGATTTCATAGCTTAATAAGAGGATATTCTGAAATGCATCTAAAAAAATTGACAGTTAGATGTTTTTGTCATTACCGTTAGTTCAAACAGTTTTTATATTGTTTTGAAAATAATGTAGATCATTTCGCTTTCCACCAGTTTCATTCAAGATGCTACAGAGGGTGTTCAAATTTGAGTTGACTTTTTGAATTTGCCGCCATTTGTGTTTTTTGTACTAGAATGGTTTTGATTTTTGGACAGCTGTTAAATAGAAACATGGGGAAATTTGAAGAAACGGGTTCAACTCAAAATCAAAGAAGTAAAATTTACAGTCGTAGTGGTCGTTCACAAGAAAATATTGCAGCTGTGTCACTGCAGAACCAAACACATCATTTGCTCATCGTTCACAGCAATCAGGCATTATCATTAAACAAACCACTTTATTCAAATATTTTACATAAGGATCTTCACTTAAAGAGTAATAAGATCCAGTTAACACGAAAATTATTGCCAACTGATCATATATTACATCATACATTTGTTAATTGGACTCTTGCAGTGAAAGAAGAATATGATGAAATGATTTTTTTAACAAAATCGTCTTTAGTGATGAAGCTTATTTTGAAATTGATGGATATGTAAACAAACAAAGTTGTCGTATCTAGGATAAAGATAATCCACGAGTAATATTGCAACAACTAATGCATCCATAAAAAGTACCTGTTTGCTATGGTTTTTGGTTTGATGGAGTGATTGATCCCATACTTCTTCGAAAATGAAACTGGAAACATTGTTACTGTGAATGATGCTGCTTATTAATAAGTTTCAATGGGATGAATTGGAGAGCATATTACAAGTACGCAAATAAAGTAAACCGTAAAGAGATAACGATTATTTTTAATTGGGGTGGTAATAAGGGGGTGATTTTCACGTTTTTTGTCGTCGAAAAAAATACAGACCAACTTTATTTTCATCATAAGTCGCTTAGCACGTTAAAAAAGGTTCTATGAGTATTCCCTCAAAAATGCATTGATTTTTGGTTATTTCATGTTCAAACTTTCAATTTTGGCGTTTGACTAATAAGAACCTACCTTCAACAAGCTATTAATCCGCTTGTATTGGGTCTGCAGATACCATAAACACCATTCTTTTTGTTTTCTTTTATAAGCTACATTTTTTATAAGAATTATTTTTTTGATGAAATACCTACTTAATTTTTGAGTTATTCGCGAAAAGCCGTCTGAAAAAGTGTTTTTTTTTTTGTTAAAAAATTTACACTCGCTCGCGAGTAAGTCGAAAAGTATTGACTCTCAAAAAAAAACTTTATAGAACAAAAGTTGCTTAGAATGAGTCAATATATCTATTCTCGGAGTTATTTTCAATTAAACATTTTTCACCCTCGAGAAGGGGTGGCATCCACCCCCAGGGTAAAAGCTACCCCCGGTACAAGGTCAACTTTGAAGTAGAGGGTAAGTAGAACCTAAATCCAAATTTTTATGAAAATCGGTGCTGTTTGGCAAAATTATACGGGAAAATGGTCATTGACTGGACTAATGGATGTTGATAAAATTTATGGAAAGGACGGTTAATCCAAAGGCCGGTTCAATGGACCATGAATTTGTTGCTCCATGTATTTATTTAATTTTTTGCAGGTAATTGCTTAATTACTAAATTTTAAATTTAGATGTTAGTATCGTAGATATAGGTTCTAATTGATAAAAACAACGTATCGAAAAAAGGGTTGAAATTAAATTACCCTTTACAACTAACAAAATAAGAGTGCAAAACAGCGTTATAAATAAATTGACCCAGGGCCAGGCAAAAACCGTTCGGAAATTTGCTCTTTTTGCATTAAGCTTATTTTTACAGTAATTAAAAAAAGAGAGAAATCACCTACGCATCTTTGTTCCTATTATAACTTTTTTTTATAGCGTAATTATTGGACGTATCGGACCGGGATTTTAAAGACAATAATTAAAGAAACTTTTATTTCCAGAAAGTTTTACATTCATAGTTCATGTAATAAACGCGCTAGCAGCAGTAAAAGTTAACATTAATGAACGACCTACAAGCGGGAGAAGGAGCGCTGTGCCTGCGCTTGCGCGTGAACGTCGTTCTCGTCGCGAGCGAGATTGTTTACTTGAACGTTTCAAAATCGGTTCAATAATACTAATAATTTTTTCACGTTCAAACTCTAATTCGACTGGAGTAATAGAAGAACATTCATTGACTTCATTTGACAGGATATTAAAAAAAAATTGTTTGAATTAATTTAATACTAAAGGTATTAAATTTAGAAACCACGTAGTAAAACTACGCCTTGCCGGACAAATTGCTGGCTTGTGTAAGGAATACATTGTATATTATATAGTTCGCATAAATTTTATGTACGTATTTTATACCTCGTATTCTTGCCCACAGTGGGTTAATAAAAATGTCACTAGCATTTGCAACCAAGGATAACAACTGCTGCTTGCTGCAATGGCTTTATTAATAAACAATAACTGGCCGCGAATGGTGGATATATATTTCACAACTCGAGTTCTTAGAAACAAGTGTATATCACTGCTGTAACTCTAGTTTAAGATTAATAACAGCAAACATATGGTCACATTCCAGCCTATTAAATTGAAAATAAAATGATTTTGTTTGTTTCATATGTATTTTATATACAGTACGCGCCTAAAGTATGGAATAAATTCAGTAAAAACGAAACAAATTTTTTTTGGGAAAAATCTTCGAATAGGTCGATTTTTAATTTAAAAAATACATATTTCAGCATAAAAGGCGATTTTCAACCGTCATTTGTTTTCGAGTAATGACGTCAATGACATTTTTTTTAAATAGCAACTTCCTATTTTTTTTCTTGATTCTGAAAGATCGTTTCATTGTCGATCCGATAGTATTAAAATGTCATCTTACATAGGAAAGTTTTCGAGTAAATGACGATTGAATGTTAGAAAACGTAAATTTTATTCATTAAAAAAATTACATTTCCTATGTCAAGCAAATACAATTCATTAAGTTTTCTACCTAAATTGAGTGTTCGAATTGCCACCCACCGACTTCTTGACAATACGCAAGTCTGTGTAGAAATTCCTTTTGCACATTATGAATTATTTTTGGGGTAACTCTGTGTATTTCATCTATAATATAATTATGTGGTCTATTAACGTACACTTTGGACTTTAAGTAGCCCCATAAGAAATAGTCCAGGGGTGTAAAATCTGGGGATCTCGCGGGCCATTCTATCGGTCCTCGTCTGCCGATCCACTTACTAGGAAAACAATTGTCCAGAAAATCTCGAACAGGGCGCGCATAGTGCGGAGGTGCACCGTCTTGCTGGAACCATATGGTGTCATCAGGAATATCAGGATCATTATCGTTAGGAAAAATTACTGCAAGCGCTGGAACAAGGTCATTTTGTAAAAACTCGAAATATCTTTCTCCTGTAAGGGTTCCTTCAAAGAAAAAAGAGCCTACTATTCTGTTGTCAACTATTCCAGCCCACACATTTAATTTCTGTGTGTGTTGGGTATATGTCTCTGCCATCCAATGAGGATTTTCCCGACTCCAATACCTGCAAGTTTGGCGGTTCACTGTACCATTGAGACAAAACGTGGCCTCGTCTGAAAAAAGTATTTGCCGGTGTAAATCTCTATTTACTTGACATAAATCCATCATAATTTCACAAAAGTGTAAGCGGCGGTCGGGATCGTCTTCATAGAGTTCCTGCACAAGTTGAATTTTGTAGGGATGATATTTTTCATTTCTAAGGATACGTAGCACTGTGGTCTGACTAATTTCATTGTTTAATGCAACCAATCGTGAAGTATTATGAGGATTATTATCTACCATACTTATCAAAATGTTCTGTTTGTGATCTTCACTAACGCTTGGACGTCCAGGTATTGGAATATCTACAACATTGCCAGTTTCTCTAAATTTAGATTCTATCTTACTGAGTGTTGATTGGCCGATACGGCGATCTGGATGTTTTTCATTAAATAAATCGAAAACTTCCTGCTGCGTTCTAGTCTTATCCCCGCATCCGATAAGAATTAAAATTTCAATTCTTTGTGTGACGGTTAAATGTGCCATAATTAAATTCAACAATAATTTTTATATCGCTTACAATACTTAGAAAGTCGGTATGACAATGACAGTTTGTAAAGATTTACACCTACGTGATCCATAAAAAACTTCAGGCATTTCGAAAAACGTTAAATAACGTTTTTGCTTTATTTTAATTGATTTGAGTTTTCTAACATTCAGTCGTCATTTACTCGAAAACTTTCCTATGTAAGATGGCAACATTTTAATACTGTCGGATCGACAATGAAACGATCTTTCAGAATCAAGAAAAAAAATAGGGGGTTGCTATTTAAAAAAATGCCTATGAAGTTATTACTAGAAAACAAATGACGGTTGAAAATCGCCTTTTATGCTAAAATATGTAT